TCTGCATGGCGCAGCATGTCATCTGCATGGCACAGCATGTCGTCTGCATGGCGCGTGTACGTCTGCAGCATGTCGTCTGCATGGCGCAGCGTGTCCGTCTGCATGGCGCAGCGTGTCCGTCTGCATGGCGCAGAGTGTATGTTTGCATGGTGCAGCCTAAAAGTTGCGGGAGGCTGTCTCATGCAGCATTCCTGCAAGCGTCGCCACAGCCTCCGCCGTTCACAGCGGCCCACTCGCTGAGAAATATTTTGCAAACAGAGTTGAAGGGGAGATAACGCGGCGCGCAAACAGCCGGAAATAGAAGCAACTGCGCGTGACCGGCAGACACCAGGTTGTCAGCGTCTACACAGCGAAAACTCGGCCAATCGGGAGGGAAAAGCCGCCCGGGGTGCCGTGAGAGACCTCTTGCGGCCAGCTCCTGGGCCTCTGGGGTGCTGGAGCTCCCCGAGACTGAGGGGCGGCCCCCAGGGCCACTTCCGGACGGCAGCGCCTTCTCAGGCCAAGATTCCCCGCGACCCAAAAATAGCGCCACAGCTGTAAGGACCAGGGCCAGGGCCTGCGGCACAGGGCGGCGCCGCGGGGCCGCCTTATCGCCCACAGCCGGAACGCGGCTCCGGGCGCGCCGCCCTTTATAGAGCCCCTCGAGCCCCGCCCTAGCAACTTCCCTAGCAACACCTCGCCCTCCCGCTCCGCGGCCTTATCTGCTGCGACAGGCCCTTCCTGTTCCCCTCCCCCCGCCAGGCGGCGCGGGGGGCCTGCCCACGTGACCGGGCCGGGCCCACGTGACCGGCCCCAGGGGGAGGGGCGGGGCGAACGTCCAGCGCGGAGGCGGGGCTCTGGCCGGCGGGCGGACGTCATCAATCCGCGCGGGTGGCGTTGGCGCTGGGCCCCTATTCGAGCCGGCGCAGTGCCGAGGGGGCGAAATGGCGGAGGCCGCGGCGCTGGTGTGGGTTCGCGGCCCGGGCTTTGGGTGCAAGGCGGTGCGGTGTCCCCCGACCCCGTGCCCGGTACGCGAGTTCATCCACCAACACTGCCTAGATCAGGTGAGACTCGCGGTTCCGGTACGGAAAGGGGAAGGGGAAGACGGGTCGGAGCGGGGCTGCGAGGGTCTGGGGCGTCCATTCTTGGGGGTCCTCGTTTTTGTGGCCGAGGTCGCCTCGGTTTTAAGGTGCGTCTGCCCGCCTTCGTGTTTGCTTTGTGGTGGCTGCCGGGTCTCCTCGCAGACAGGTGTTGCCCGGTGAGGCCTGGGACAGGCTCCCCGTTAAGGGGCAGGGTGTCCCGAGGTGCTCTGCGAGTTCTCCCCCCGCCCCCCGCTCGTTCCTTTTCCTTTGTAAGTAAACCCGCTATTGCCCCTTTGTGTGCGGGCCAGGCCCCCCAGAGTGGCGCCAGCTCACACCGGGGTGCCCTGTAAGGACACCTCCCTCCCTCTGCGGTGCGGGGTGGGCTTTGGCCGCCGCGCCGGCCCTGTAGCCCCCCAGAAGTGTGTCGCCCGAACAGGCCCAGGGGTGGTGGTGGAGGGAAGTGGGCTCGCTTGGTCTAGGTTGGGGCCGGGTCTAGGTTGGGGCCGAGCGCTGCTGTGCCCTGGGCCAGTCATTGAGAGCATTTGCGCGCATCCTTTGACGGTTTCCTGCAAGTGGTTTACTGAAGGATCAGGCAACTATGAGATACTGCGCCTGTTAGGTTTGGCCTTCCTGCTCTAATTTGAATTTTGGCACCCGATCTAGTGCTGTGTTTCCCCATGTTTCTTAGTACACTGCACTCCAGTCTAAGATCTCATCAGAGCGGCTTTGATCACCCCGGGAAATAGCTCTGAAAGAAGCAACTCTTTAAGAACAGCCTCAAGCTTTCCCACAACTGATCCCGAGTGAGGGCAGAAAACAGCAGGCTCCCAGGAAGGTACTGGGGAAAAATAAACTGAGAGGAAATGATGAGTCTGTCAGGTACTTAGAAAACAACAGGATAGAAACAAACAGAAAAGTACATTTAGTGAGCTACTGAAAAATGGAAATAGCGCCTGGCCACGTCTGTGCATTTTAAACTGAAACTGTTCCGACATACAGTAAAGCCCTGCTTGCCTTGGGCGGTAACAGGGGGAGAGCTCGCAATGGGAAATAATGACCCGGGGAAAGTCTGCTGCTTGGTCGTGAAAGTCAGTGAAAGTCAGACTAGAAGAAACTTTTCTGCTTGGGTTTTATCAGTTACATGAAGATCCTGCTCTTGCCTTGAGAATCTAAGCAGACTCATCGCAGGGATACAGAGAAGCATTTCGAACCCAGGTTCCTTCCGGACTGGTGTGTGCAGGCAGCAGACCACATGTACCCTAGCTGTAGTTTCCGAGGAAACAGGAGTGGGACCCCCTCCATCTAGACAATGTTGCCATTTTTGTATACACTCTGCTTTGATGCTCATAAAACTGTGTCATTTAAGTTTACTTTAAAATAACTCCTTGCCTGATCTCTAAACCTTTTAATGACTTCATCTTCTGATCTCTTTTTTAAAAGATTTATTTATTTATGCACACAGAACTGGGGTACAGGCCAGAGGTGGGGGGGTGAGAGGCTTCACCAGAGACAGAGTGGGGAGCAGGACAGGCGGATCAAGGAAGCACACCGCTGAGGGGAGCAGCGGGCGGGTCAGGCGAGGTCTGCGGTGCCCTGTGGGTCATCATGTGGAAGTGGCCTTAGCCTCCTAGTGCTGTGCTTTAGCGGGCTGTGCCCCCAGGGAGGGCCTCTTCTGATCTTTTAAAAGGACCCACTCCCCATCCATCCTCTGTATCCACTCAGGTGTCCCAAACTTGCTGGGGGGGGGGGTGAGGGGGGCGCGGGCAAGAAGCGGAGGCTTAGACTTATTTTCAGTGTGCTAGCCAGGTGAGCCTTGAGAGCCAACTCAGGTCTCTTTATTCAGAACCTCAATGATCTTACTCAGCGTAACGGCCAGCGTCCTTCTAGCGCGTTCTAAGGCCTGTCACTCCTCGTGTGTACTTCACTGCAACCACATTGGCTTTCTGCTGCTCTTTAACTACTCTTAGGCTTATCTCCACTGGGGCATTTACTGTTACCTGTCTGGGATGCTGTCCCTGAAGTCACGTTGCTTGTTTCATCACTTTAATTCTCCTCTAGATGTCACTTGATCAGAGACTGCCTTCCGTATGAAATAGACACCCGCATGTCCCTCCTGTCCTCTTGGCATAATAATAGGTCATGTGTTATTCTGTCTGCCCCCACTAGACTGTTAGCACCAGGAGGGAGGATCTGTATTCACTGTATTTTTCACTGTTATTCACTGTAGTTTTCCGACACCTAGCAGATCGTAGGCATTGACTATTTGCTAAAGGAATGAGTCTCATTCAGTAGTTGTGTCATGATAAATATCCACAGTTTTCACTTCAGGAAAATACCAGTAATTCGTAAATCCTTTCTGTTGGCATTGTGATCTTCTCATTCCTGAGGGTCTCGACAGTCCCTGTAGTTCGAGTTCGATCCCCGCCAGAGAGTGACCCACAAGGTGCAGCAGACCCCGCCTGTCTCTCCGCTGTTCCCCTCAGCAGTGTGTTTCAGTCCATCTGCCTGTTCTGCTCCCCGCTGTCTCTGATGAATCACCCCTTGCACCTGTGGCCTATATCCCAGGTCTTATATGCATAAATAAATAAAACTTAAAAAAAAAAAAGACAAGAAGTTTCTGTATTTCACTGTGTGATAGTAAGAGGGAAAAGGGTCCCTGGAATACTTCATATAAAATGACTTTTTTTCCCTTTTAATCATTTTCATTTTCAGTTCAACAAATATTAATTGGATATAAGTTATTTGCCCATAACCCGAGTGCTAAAAAGATAAGGTAGGTACTTTCGTGTAATAAACTTGGTTTGTTTTATAAATGGCATTAAAAACCCCACATCTGTCCCCAGGATGTCCCAGCGGAGTGCTTCTTTGTGAAATGTGATGGATCGCTCGTTAGCAGCGACGACATAGTGCAGCATGGAGCAGTTTACAGTTTGGAACCCAGGCTTCGAGGTGGAAAAGGAGGTGGGTCGGAGGTGACACACCGCAGCCCTCAGCCATGTGCAAAGTCAGACTTGATGTGGTGTGCCGAGCTTGTTTCGCTTACGAACTTCTCTGATACGATTGTCTGGCTCTAGCCAGGTAACTAAGATAACCCAGGTGCGAAACTGTGGGGCAGATTAGGTGAAAAGTGATGGGTGTTAGTCTTAGAATTTGCTGGAAAATCTGCTTTTATCAAGATTTCATCTAATTATTGTTCTGAAGTCACATCAGGACAGGTTGACAGGTTGGGATGGATGTCAGTCCTAGTTACATGAGCACATCTAAGGAAAGAGAAAAGAAACAGCAAACACTGACTATGAATAGTTCTTATCTTTCTCTTGTTGCACTGACGTGGGCACTAAGCTTTTCCAAAATGCACAGCGCTCTGGTTTTCCGGAGAGCTGACAGCTCAGAGCAGAATCATCCTACTGCTTGGGATTTTGCCCGCAGAATGACACTTGTCCTGGTAGTGACAGTTTGAAATTGCCCTCCCTGTTCGGCTCCCCGCAGGGCCGTACCGTACCGCGCTGCAGGTTGTGGTCTGCGAATCCGGAGATTTCTGGCATCGGGTACAGTCGCCTCTAAAGTAGCCTGTGCACAGTGATTCAGAAACAAAACAGAGGGCGAGTGTCTGCCTTTTTCTTTCTTTCTTTTTTTTTTTTTTTAAGAAAGCAAGCAGAGATTACCCGCAGTCTTGTGACATCACCCTGGGCTCACACGTTCCGCCGTTACTCGCTCCCGAGCACCGCTAACCCGCTTTCTTCACACACTGGCGCAGGTTTTGGATCCATGCTCAGAGCACTTGGTGCTCAGATCGAGAAGACGACCAACCGAGAAGCCTGCCGGGACCTCAGCGGGAGGAGGCTGCGCGACGTCAACCACGAGAAAGCGTAGGTCTCCTCGTCTCGCGCCGCCCCCCGTGGTGGTTGCACCACATCGCAGGAAGCTCACCCCGAGAGTCCCGCTCGGATCTGTCGCACCAGAGTTCATAGTTCTGTGCCTTCATGATTACTTTTGGGCGTTAGCATGCCCGTGTGGTGTGTGGCAAGCCTGGCATGCCTCTCTGAGGCGTGGGCCCGTGTGTGACAGACCCCTGCAGTCCGTTTCTCCCCCCAGGATGGCCGAGTGGGTGAAACAGCAGGCTGAGCGGGAGGCCGAGAAGGAGCAGAAGCGCCTGGAACGACTGCAGAGGAAGCTGGCGGAGGCCGGGCGCTGCTTCGCCAGCCCCGACTACCAGCAGCAGTGCCACGAGATGGCCGAGCGCCTGGAGGACTCGGTCCTGAAAGGTGGGCCTGAGCTCCGAGGTGTGGCCAGCTCTTTGCCGCTGTTCCTCACTAGCACAGCGGCTCTGAGCTCTGTTGGGTCGCACATCTCTGTACCTCGCTCCACGGCCCGTTTGCAGCTCAGGAACGGGAACGCACACCGCGCCTCGGCTTCCGCGGCCCCCAGTCGGCACGCCTGGTTGCCGAGCGGGAGCCAGTCAGGTCCAGGAGTCTAGACCCAACGACTTGCGTCCTGTGTCTCAGGAAATTTGAGTGTAGAGCGTAGGTTGCAACTTTCCCCCTTGCAACACAGATAGTTTACAAAATCCCTGCTTAAGCTTAGTTCTGGCTTGTTACCTTTTCTGTTCATGGAATTGCTAACCTTCCTGGGCAGGCATGCAGGCTGCCTCCAGCAAGATGGTACTGGCGGAAATTGGGGAGAAGCGGAAACAACCTCATAAATCAGAAACAGACGGAGGAGCCAGTGCGAGGAAGAGGAAATGTTTTTGGTAAGAGAGCGGTCTGCGGCGCCCTGCGCTTCACTCCCTGGCTTGGGCTCGAACTGGCGCTCCCGTGCTGCTGGTAACTTCACAGTGCTGAGACTTAACCCTTTGCGCCACCAGGGAGGGCCAGGGTTAAGTTTGAAGAATTTTGTAGCATCTTCAAAAGAGCCTGTTGGGGCCCTCCCTGGTGGCGCAGTGGGTTAAAGCGCAGCACTAAGAATGAAAGCCACTTCCGCATGAGTTCCATCCCTGCCTGCCTGCCCCAGAGGTGACCACATGGCGCAGCAGACCTCTCCTGACCCGCCCGCTGCTCCCTTCATCGATCTGCCTGTTCTACACCCCACTCTGTCTCTGGTGAATCCTCTCACCCTCCGCATCTCTGGCCTGTACCCCAGTTCTGTACGAATAAGTAAATATTTAAAAACAAACAAACAAACAAACAAACAAAAGAGCCTGTTGGACCTTTGGGATGGCTGGTTCCAGTCTCACTGAGACTGTTTCCCTTCAGAAGTGAATATACTTCACCTTTTTCTGAAATTTACCTACTCCCCATCTCAAACTAGCAGATGCTTCTGCTCAGACAGTCTGTTCCCTGGCAAACTGCAGCCTTTCTTCTTTTTTCTTTCAAAGTAGAAGATGTTCAGTGCTTTCTTTTGCCTCTCCTAGGCTGGACATGCAAGGACTAGAGACCGCACAGGGGTCCAGCTCGGGGAGCTCAGACGACGACAGTGAGGAGGCGCCTAGCACTTCAGGAGTGAGCTTCCAGCTTCCGAAACACAGCAGTGGTGGGGTCGAGACGGCCCCTGAGCTTCCTCATGCTTCCCAGAGGACAGGCGTGTTGACTCCGGACTCGAGATCACCGGAAAAACGACAGGGACTTGTGCCTGACTCTGGGAACGGTGTTGTGGGAGAGCAGTACGCGGAGCTGGGCGAGCCCGCCGCCCCAGAGCACGCGGCCGTGAAGGTGGCCAGAGGGCCGGAGCGGGACAGAGAGGCCAGGAGTGCGGGTCCTGCATCTGCGGGAAGGGACGCCGCGGCCGCGCTGACGAAGGAGAAAGAGACAGAAGCGCCGGAGGGGGACAGAGCGGCCCGGGGGGCACCCGGAGCAGACAGGGAAGCCGCGCCCCCCGCCAGGCCAGAGCAGGGCCAGCCGGAGGGCCAGCCGGAGGGCCCGGCAGGAGCCGCGGTGAGTGTCAGGGGCCAGTGTCTAGAGCCAGGCCAGTTATTAGAGCGAAATGTGCGGCTTCGTGGAAAGAGGCCGTTAGTAGAACCACAGATGATGGCAAGCCTGGCTTCTCCCTGCAGAAACACCCAGGTTGGTTGAGGCCTGGGCTTACATTATCTTGCCACCAGGTGGTGGTCTTGGCTGCGTGTTTTTATCAGTTCTGAGCGGCAGCGTCACATCCTGGCACCTCCGAACTTGGGGCCATACCACGTTATGACGATTGGTGTTGCTGACTCCCCGTCACACCTACGATGAGGCGTTTCGGATCTGACGGATCGCCCATTGTCGGCGTGCTTTGCGGGATGCTGTCTGAGCGCCCTCGGCGCCTGCGGCCAAGCGCGGCCTGCAGGAAGGAGCAGCTGCGCGCTGCCATCAGACTGAGTCCCCAGCCCTCTCTGTGCGCTGTTCTGTGCGCTTCCTCAGGTGGTAGGTGTCTGCTCCTCTCAGGGTGGACCTCCAGCCAAGATCCTTGTGTTTATTCTTGATCTAGCGCTTCTATTTTGTAATCTGTGACGCCTGAGCTCCTTGGTTTTCTTAACGAGCACAGACCCTGTCAGAGCCTTCCTGCTGCCAGCACACAAGCAGAGACACATGAAATGCGCTTTCTAGGAAGACAGTGGAATTCTTTGTTGAGCGCTTCAGATTCCCCCTCAGGTCATCTGGGAGTTGTGAATATGGGGCTGCCCTGTTGCTGGCCTAGCAGAGTGTCACACTGACTAAACCTGAGAGGATGAATTCAAGGAAAATAGGAGAAATGTTGAGCTCACTTTCAGGGTCTGAGCTTTCAAGCGTGGAAATTTTGTTGCAGATGTTTGTGTAGTTGACTCCTAACAGCCGGGCATAGCCCTCTGTGGCTCTCACCCGTAACAGGAAGCATTGGGAGTAGGAGTTGGGGCCCTGGGGCCCAGTGGGTCAAAGCGCAGCACTGAGAAGCTAAAGTGGCTTCAGCACAAGTTCGACCCCCGCCCCGAGATGACTTTCAGGGCGCCCCAGACCTCCCCTGACCCGCCCGCTGCTCCCCTCAGCAGTGGACTTTGTCAGTCGGCCTGTTCTGCTCCCCGCTCTGTCTCTGGTGACTCCTCTCACCCCCTGCACCTCTGGCCTGTACCCCCATTCTGTATGCACAAATAAATCTTTAAGAAAAAGAGTAGGAGTTAATAGGTTGACCTTTTACAGTGATGGAATCTCGTTAAAAGTAAGCTTTATGGTAAGTGTGGGGATAATTCACTGTTTCATGTTTTTACTGAAAATCAAAAAGAAAGGAAAAGTAACACTAAGATCTTTCAGAAGTCCTGTCATTTGTCATGATTCTGAATATTTGTTGCTAAATATATACATGAAAAGTTAGTTTATTAATAATGTACAGAGTGAGTGCGTGTGGAAGAATTATTTAAGTGATTGTTAAAATTCTGTAGCTGGACATGGCACTGAAAGAGAAAATTGAAAAATAGAATATAGTTGACAAATTAAAAAGTCAGAATTCAGAGAGAAAGCTGTCTTAAATGCCTCTCTTTTCCTCAGGGTACCGGTCGGGCAGCTGTGGACTTGCTGGCCTTCAGCTCGGCCGCGGAGATGGAGTCGCTGGGTCTGGAGAAGCTCAAGTGTGAGCTGCTGGCCCTGGGGCTCAAGTGTGGGGGCACGCTGCAGGAGCGGGCCGCCAGGCTCTTCGCCGTCCGAGGGCTGACCAGGGAGCAGATGGACCCCGCTCTGTTTGCCAGGCCTGTGAAAGGGAAGAAGGCGGCTCCGGCGGGGCGGACGCCTGGCCTCTCCGCAGCCCGGCCCTGAGCCGCCGCCTCGCGGCTGCTCTTGGGCTGCAGCAATTCTCGCGATCCCTGCGCAAGCTGGTTCTTCAAGCTGACTTTTAATAAACTGGCTGTCCTCTCACTGTTGCCTTGCTGGTTAATGTGTGACGCCATCTGGCGTGCGAGTTTTCTTTGTGGGAGACTTTAAATACATTAAATTCTTTTAATAAATGCAGAGCTGTTGAGATTTTTGGTTTCATCTTGTGTCGATTAGGTAAGTTATATTTTCAAGGAATTTATGCATTTGAGCTTAATTGCCACATCTGTGGACATAAACCCACATTCGTCTCTTCCCACCCTGCCACCGTCTCGGCTGTGGAGACGCGAGCCCGTTCTCTCCAACCCGACACTCATAATTTCTGCTTTTCCAGCTCTGTCTAACCAGGAGTGTCGTCCCCCCCCCCCACCCAGCTATTTCAGTTTCATCTTAAATTTCATTCTTTACTCCTTTTGCCTAATTTGGATTTACTTTTTCAGCTTTTCTTTAGCTCCATAATACAAACCTTGGGTCATCGATTTTAGACTTTTTCTAATACGTATGCTGACAGCTATACATTTTTCTCTAAGCACCTCCTTGGTTGCATCTCAGACGTTTATGTTATATTGCCTTTGAGAAGCAAAAAAATGAGTCATGACTTTTCCAGCAACCCAATATACTCATTATGAGTCGGTTTGAAGAATTTTCCCATTCCCTTGTGAATTCTTTTACCCGTCGGTCATCTAGAATTGTGCTGTCTTAATTAGGAGGCCCCCAACCTCGGATATTTTATTACTGTGTCCTAATTCAGCTTCTTTTGTCAAGCGTATTTTCTTTACAATTTCAGTCTTTTAAGTTTTATGGAGACCTGTATTATTGTACAGCATGTGTTCTGTTTTGGTGAATGTTCTGTGTTTTGGAAATGAATACCTGTTTTGAACTGTTGGTGAATTTGTTCTGATCATCTGTCTTTACTGTTTTTTTAATGAACAAAAACCTTGTTATACATAGTTATATTCATAAAGTGCTAAACAAAAGCAGTACGAGAAACATTAATCGCAAATCCAAATAGAAATGATGCTCTGCAAAATTCCGTATTTTTCTTTGTGTATCAAAAATCATCTTTTAGTCATTTGCAAGTACCTTGTTTTTATTTACTTTCTTTGCACCTGTTTGACTTCTTTGACCTGTTTGATTTTATTTTAATTCTGTGAGACATTCTCCACAGACATATTTGAATGGCTGCTGCTTTTGGGAGTTGGACTCCTGAGCGTCCATTGTTAGTTCTGTCAGATCACAGTGGAGACACAGAAACTTCTCCGTTTCCAGATAACTGTTCCTGTTAAACGATCTTGCGCCTCCCTGGGTGTGCAAGGGGTTAGCCCAGCACTGTGAAGCCGCCCACAGCCCCTGCAGCACGAGTTCGATCCCCGGCCAGGGAGTGACCCACAGGGTGCAGCAGACCCTTCCTGTCTCCCCACTGCTCCTCAGCAATGTGTTTCAGTGGATCGGCCTGTTCTGCTCCCCACTCTGCCTCTGGTGACTCCTCTCACCCACTGCACCTGTGGCCTACACCCCAATTCTTGCATATGTGCATACATAAAATCTTTTTAAAAGTAGCTTTCTTACAGACAACATAGATTTTACACTTTTGCCTATTTTGACAGTCTCCACTTCTCAATTTTTTTGTCTCCACCTTTTAATCAGGGTGTTTATTATAGGTATAATTACCGATGCAGCTGGTTTTAGGTCTGTCATATTTCCATTTGGATTAGTTGATGATTTCAGAGTTCGTTTTAGTCACTAAGCTTCAGGGCCGAGGTTTTTTCCCCCATTGTGACAGTGCCTGGTCCAGACAGGGTGCCCCGTAAGTATTTATGGAGGGAGTATGTTATAATGAGCGTTACTACAGGATACATGTTACAAAACACGAGGCAAATCGCACTGCCAATCGGTCGCGGCCCTTCCGTGGGTCAGCGTATCCTGTGGGGTGCAGGTGCTCACTTGCAAATCTTTGCTCCCAGACAGGGTAACTTTGAAGGCTGTTGAGAAAATGACTGGAGTTTTAGCAAAATAAGGTCCCAGAGCAACGGAAGTGTGGGCACAAATGTCCCCATCTAGAAAGGGATTCTGCTGCCCACTGGCAAGCGCCAAAAACACCACCAGAAAGACGCGCTGTTGCCTGCAGAGGGCGCCGGGCACCAGCGAATGGGGACATGTGCTCCCGCGTGCGGGAGGGGGTTGGGAGGGGAAGGAACCCCCGGGCCCCAAAGGCAGGGGCGACGCCCCCCACAGTGCTGACTGGCGAGGACGCTAAGGCACAGCTGTAAACGATGACTTCTTGCCCCAACACATGTTTCCTGATCGTTTGCTATTCTGGAGGAATCTGCATGTTCAACTGCCATTTTAACTTTGGGGCTATAGAAAGCCGATTTTGGAACACAGCAGGGTTTTGCACATACTTCCCCTGCCTGATCCCGCAGGTCACTTCTGTGGGAAACACACCCCGGCGCCCTGCTTCAGAGCCTGCCAGGTCTGGCCCTGACCTCAGCCAGGAAGAGGCTCTACAGGCAGCTTCTTGAAGGTACAGACACAAGGAAACATCCTGCCCCTCCCTTTTCTCCCAGGAGAAGGGTGTAGCAGGTTTAGCAACAGATGGAAGAGAGGGCAGGGCTGTGCAGCAGAGGGAAATCAGCGGAGGGTGGAGAGGGTCAGACCCCAACGCGTGCTGGGGAAATCGGGGTCAGGGGCTGTTTTTGCTTGACGTTGGCTCCCCGGCCGCTCTAGCTAGTGTCCAGGCAGAGGGGCCTCTGTCTCCACCTGGGAGTTAGGGGGTCCCTGGAGCGCCGGGGATCCTGAGTGGGCACAGCAAGCCTGCAGGGGCACGTGGGCTCCTGGCTGGGAATCCACAAGTCCAGGCTCCTTGTCTGTATCTTGCTACCACTGCCGGCCAATACTAGGCCGTGGGTGTAGACGAGGTACTTGACTGAAATACCAATGTCACCGCTTTGCACGTCGGAGTTCTCTATGAGAGATAAAAGAGATAGTTTTCTATGTGGATAAAAATAAGGTTTATCCATAAGATAATTTTGAAAGCTTGCAGCCATTAACTTTTTTTAAAGATGTATTTATTTGTGCACACAGAACTGGGTCCAGGCCAGAGGCGCAGGGGCCGTGAGAGGTTTCACCAGAGACAGAGCAGGGAGCAGAACAGGTGAATCTATTGAAGTCCACTGCTGAGGGGAGCAGCGGGCGGGCCAGGAGAGGTCTCCTGCGCCCTGTGGGACACCTCGGGGCGGGGATCGAACTTGCGCTGAAGTGGCTGCAGCCAGCAAGCAGTGCTGCACTTTAACCCGCAGCCTGCTGTGCCTCCAGGCAGGCCCGGCATTAATTCTTTATATGATTATTTTGGAAACTTTTTTTTTAATGGATAGGCGAGAAATTAAGTGTGGAAAAATAACAAAATGATGTTGAGATATAAGAATGAAATATGGTAACTGCTCTGCTGTGAACAAGATCAGATATAAATCTTCTGTACACAGAGATTACAAAAAACAATATTATACTGAGGGGTAAAAGTGACTGGAAAAAAATCTCAGACTCAGGAATGTGAAAGTGGATTATTTCCCTCTTCTGAACATCCTTTATTCCTTAGGTCTCTGATGAGGTTACTTCTATAATAAGGAAAGTGGCTTTGTTAGCTGGCAGTCAGCGAAAGCTGTTGAGCTTCCTCTCTGCTGTCATCTAGGTGGCTGGGGATGCCTTTGCCAGAGAGAGCTCAAGCCCACGAGCACAGGCAGGCGTCTGCCGTGGCTTCAGTCCTTCCCAACACGTTGCACCATCACAGTGCAAGTGGCATGGAGCACTCAGCCCACTGGCAGAGTGAGATGGAGTCGTTGGGGAGCTAACTTGGCCCTGGGCATTATTCTCCTTGACTGTCACTTACGTTTATTGGCTAACCATGGTTCACAACACTGTCCCTGTCCTGGGGGACCAGGGCAACCCCTACAGAATTATGTTACTACTCCTAATCTTCAACCACAAAGCATATAATCTTCCACTACAGTCCACTGGGCCGTGGGTTTAAAAGATGGGCTCCTGCACTGCTGGTGGGAATGCAAACTGGTACAACCACTATGGAAAACTACTTGGAGATTCCACAAACTGCTCAACATGGAGCTCCCTACGATCCAGCAGCCCCACGCCCAGGTATCTACCCAAAAGACACAAAATACTGGTTCAAAAAGACACCTGCACCCCCATGTTTATTGATGCCTTATTTACAATTGGAAAGACATGGAAGCAGCCCAAATGCCCAAAAGCAGATGACTGGATTAAAAAGATGTGTTACATATACATGGTGGAATATTACTCAGCCATAAAAAGATAAACACGTGCCTTTTGCAGGAACATGGATGGAGCTGGAAGGGATCATGCTGAGTGAAATAGGCCAGAAAGAAAAGGAAAAAATAAAATACTGAATGGTTTTACTCATAACAGGAGTATAATGGATCAGGTGAGAAAATAATAATAATAATAATGAACAGCCATATACCAGAGGTATTTTACAGGGGTGGAGGGGGGAATGGGATCAAAAACAGTGGGGGGGGGCCCTCCCTGGTGGTGCAGTGGGTTACAGCACAGCACTAAGAAGCTAAAGCCGCTTCCGCA